ATCTTCAAGACCTTCGGCTGCAAGTCAGGGGCATCACGATCATCTGTGGGCTAATGGAGGAACGTTAAATGTATATAATGTCCACCGGATTAATGCCATCGCAAGGGCGGCTGATTTGGTGTGTGTGAGAAGATTGTGTTTCAAACATTTGGGGGGCCAATCAGGAGAGGTCACCAAGACTAAATCTCTTCATGAGGAGTGACTCCCAATCTCTTCATGAAGAGGGATCCCCAAAGACAGAGTATATAGATCTCTTCGTGAAGAGGGATCTCCAAGACAAAATCTTTTCGTGAGGAGGGATCTCCAAGATTAAACCTCTTCAAGAGGAGGGCTGAGATTTTACCGTCACAACTCCCCCAAGCTGCTCGCATCTTCGGGTAGTATTTCGGTGGCTGCTAGAAACGGCGCAATGCTGTAGGATCCATTAAGCCTCCTTGTGCCTCAAAAACTGTTTCATTGGCGGATTGTCCAAAGCATGAACGCCAAGCAAGCAGAGACTGAACCACGCGCAACCTATCATTTTGAGCAAGACATTGCCTTGTGCTTCCTCAAACTTTAGATTCAACATGTGAGTCACCCTCAAATGGCCAAACCGATCAAATTTTACTTACCCTTTTGCTTTTTTGGTTTCCAAAGAGAGAGGTTGTCTAGGTTCACATCGGTGTTGAGTTGTGCAATGAGGGTGCCTCTGACATGTCCGGATATTCGCGGGACTTCCGCGAGCGGGTCCCAACGTAGACAAATGCCCATCTAAATGAGTGACGCTCGTTCTCGGCCGCGGTACTCTGATCAAGTTCAATGTGAGATAACGGGGGAAAAAAGCGAGGTAAGGGGGTAACCTCTCCATTTTTCAACGGTGTTTTTTGGGGCAGCCGCAATAATGGTCACTTCTGGAGTTTATTCTATTTGTTTTCATTTTGCTTCCTTCTACGTTCATTTGCTTTCATTCTGGTTTCGTTTTTCTTTCCTTCTGTTTTCATTTGCATTCACTCTGCTTTCACTTGCTTTCATTTTGCTTTCATTTGCTGTCATAGTGCTTTCATGTGCGTTCATTCTGCTTTTACATCCCTTCATTTGCTTTCATTCTGCTTTCATGCCCTTTTATTTTGCTTCCAGTGGGCTTTCAAATAAAAGGCAATGTTTAATGTAAAGAAAGACATTCCTCAGGAGCCACAATAGAGGGGGCCTTACAGAGATGTGGGATGGAACAAGTGTATTTAGGTCGCTTTGGCGTGAAGCAGCAAGGGTTCAAGGACGCTGCCATCCACATAGATTGGTCGGATCGACGCTGCCATCCCAAAGATTGGTCGGATGATGAAGCGAAGCCCTGGCTTCATCAATCTTTGGGGGATTCAGCCCAACCACTTGGGCATTTGGAAGGATGAGACACACACACAAGATGGCATGGAAGGTGTACCCTTTGGTACCGGCCCAATGCCATGGGGAATGCACATGAGGCAGGGATGGGTTTTTGGCAGACTGGAAGTCACACCTTTTGAAGGCTTGAAAATTGGAAACCCAGAGAAGAGATCCTTGGCACTTGTAGAGGGTATATACCCTTTGCAAGACTGTTGAGGTGACGCTTGTCATCAGGGTTTTATACAATATGGTCTTGGAAGGTGGAGGATTTTGTACTTTCTTCATTTTGCTTCATGAGGCTTTTTGTTGCTTACATTTTGATTTCATTCTGCTTCCATGTTCATTTTCTCCCTTATTGTGGATTCTTTGCACTTAGAAGAGATACCCTTCTTAAGGCTGTTGAAGCGAAGCTTGTCACAAGGGTTTGTCCTAGGACTGTGGTTCCAGGCACACAGATTCTTGCTGAATATTTGCACAAAGGACATTTGATATCCATTCCACACATTTTACATATCATGCCAGCGTGTAGTGAGCAAACACCTTCTCCAGTGCAGTAGGATTGGCAGAAAATGCGTTGATGTCAATGTCAACATCCTGGCCAAGTGCAAAGTCCAAAGTACCTGAAATCGTAGAAGCTCGCTATGAAGCCAAGGTTGCACACAAACAGACACACACACATGCCCCCCAATGTGGGGCGTCTAAAGCACACGTGTGCGCAAAAGAAAGACAAGTAAAAGGACATGAAGGAAGGACGGGAGAATGCACGCAATGTATGTGACGGCGATGAAGAGAAACCAGATGACCAGGGACACCACATGAGGCAGACCTCATCATCTCAAGACCTGGGGCGCCTAACAACCTACTTTCAAAGTGCAAGTGCACGTGCGCACCGTGGTCGGGGCAGATGTGCACGCAAAGAGAACAAGCCAAATGAAGACAGGAGAGATGTGAAAGGAAAGAAAGGACAAGATGGTATGTGGCTGCAGGTGACAAGAGAATCATGCAGATGTGGGTTTGTGGAACGTAGTGTGCACAATAAATTGTTTGGTGGGGGACTGAGACCACTTGATCTCAGGCTCGAATCTGCGACCGCTGCGGTCTGCTCAGCCGTGCCGTACCGCAGATACCTCTTGTCCTTTTTGGCTGCCCCTGACCATACGGTCTGCTCCAGTCGAAACCAAGCATCTCGATTTTTGACTGATGTTTCAAGTACTGCTCCTCCGGCCGCAATGACCTGCTGTGCCCACCGTGTTTGCCGAAGAACTCTGCCTCCAGTTTGCGAGCGAGACGACAGAATCGCGTTGGTTGTGTAGGCAAGCAGGTGCGCTTAAAGTAACAAAAGCCAACAGGCTCCCCATGATTCCAAGGGTTACAGACAAAAACAAGTGATGTGCCAACTGAACCCAAGCGCTCCACATCTCATCCGGCTGCACCTCACCCAACCAAGGATGCCGGGGTGGATGTCTTGGAACTCGATGGAGTGGAGCTCATGAAGGGCCGGGGGGGCGCACGATGCATGACCTTCCCCATGAGCCTTGGATTCGGTGTTGCCGCGCCGGCGTGCGGCGTGAAGGACATCAATGCGCGGGAACGGTTGAAACAGGGCGGCTGGTTTCTTGGCACATCCTCATCATCCTCGACCTAGCTGGGTGGAGTGGAGGGGATGATCACCCCGGAAACGGCTGGAAAATGATGTGATCCTGGAGCATGCTGTAGGAAAATATCGTGAAAGATCCAAACCAACTGGAAGGTGCACAGTCATACGTTGAAAACAGTCCAAACGAAAATCGCCGCAAGATCTTGCAGTTCTAGCCTGTGCAATCCTGTGTCGAACTAGGTGGCATGGCGTTCTATTGCATTCTACTAGTTGTTGGTCTTGGATTGGTTGTTCCCAAATGCCATTCTAACAGTTCCCACCGATCTGCCCTCAGGAGACGCAGCTTATCCTTGGAGGTCTAAACAGCTCGTGGACGCTGCATCCGAAGCCACCAGTCCACAGACCAGGAGTATATTCAATTTCCGAAGTGTTGTTCTTTCGGACATTTTATTCTGAATGGCTCCATGCTGACACAGCAGTGGGTCAACAAAAAAGGGGACCCCGGTTCGCGTACCAAGTATGAAAAGCACCATCCAATTGCTGCGGGATGCAAATTTCCATTATTTCCTGCATTGGCGAGGTTTTGTTAACATTTTCTAGGCAGAGTCCAAACGCAGGAGGTATGCACTATGCAGATAGGAATGATTGTTTCGGCCCTTACCCAGAGCTTGGAAAAGAGCGTTGCATCCTAGGCTGAAGAATGTTTGAAACCATTGTGAACCCACGGCGGTGATGAGACTCCTGGGTACGTGAATTCCTCCGCAGCTCCGGCCCACCCGTGGCCACAAACCAGCGCGGAGATGCTTTGCATGCAAAGATGCTCCGAGTGCCCCCCCAATGATGCTTTCGTTTGATGCTAGCAAGGAATTCTTGACTGATGGTACGCTCTGAGTTTTTTGGGGCCACCTTGACGGTTTGCTCTTCTCGCGCCAATGTTCAATTCTCTGTCGGAAATTGCGCCACTTTATTTTGCTGGGATTTGCCCTCCAAACACACGCGTATGTGTATGTATGTGTGTGTTGTTGCTGGCGTTCGGAGCAAGCCGTTTCAGAGGAAACGTAGGTAGGTGCACCAAAGAATTGTCTCAAGAGGTTAGTTGGGTGATTGAATACATTGCAGCCGTGTCTCCAAACACCGCAGCGGTCTCCATGGATACTGCATGTTCTCTATTCTGGTATCATCGATAAAAAGATGCCATCCAAGATGTTTGATAACCAAACAATTTGCTAGTAAAATGGCTGGCAACCATTTGATTAGTATAGATTGTCTCAGGAAACTCTCCTCAGCCAAATGAGTGGTTTGGGTCCTCTGTGTGGAGACACGCGCCGGTTCGTCTGATCCTGCTCTTGGACCTTCTCGGCGATACAATGGCCAGAACTTACATTTACACATCAGTACGAGCTTAAACTGCACAGCTTTTAACTTACAAAGTGATCATCTGATTGCCACACAATGCCATCATGGACGTATCGTACGTATCGTTTCATTGCACGCAAAACAGCAGATGTTTCTCACAATCCCGTCCATATCCGGGTCCAACGGGTCTGACGGGTCTCAATGCTACAGTATGCGTGGCCACCGAATCATGTTGTTTGCTTCTTTGGTCCATCAGCGATTATATAATCAAGTTTCGTCCGGGTAAGCAAGCCAAAAGCGCACCTCTCACGTGGTGACGACCAGCTCAGCTGTGCAGCCTTGCCAGACTGAGTCTAGAGATCTTCCAAGCGCAGGATCAAGCTGAGCAGATCATTGACAGAGGTCCCAAGCCGCGCAGATCTGCAGGTTGAAAGAATGGAGAGTGAAGCTTGAGCCATGCTGAGTTAGTGGGAAGGGATTTGAAGTGATTTCTTCAGGCATTCCTAACCTTACCAAGGCTGGATGTTCGTTCGATTAGCCATTGCGAACTACATCCAACCACAACTCATCACACCTCGTTAACCGTGAAAAAGGGCCCCGATCTAGTTTTCGAGAGAGAGAAAGAGAGAGCTATTAGGTTAGAGGCCATCGCTCCTAGGTTGGAGGCCACATCTTGGCACCGCTCCAGGCCGATCTCGAGGCATCTCCCGCGCCCAGCGCGCCCAGCGCGTCCGCCAAGCCGGGTGGCCCGGAGGAAGAGGTCGAGCTGCGAGGGGTGTCCGGGTTGGAAACGGACTCGCAATGACTCGCAGTACAGGATTGATTTTGTTTTTTGTTTAATTTTGAACAACAAGCATCTTTGTTTTGTACAGGAAGGTACGTACTCTCTGGAGGCCAGACCCTGTATTATTGGTGAGTGGGGGCGGAGCAGTTATATAATTCTGAAGCTGTTTATGAAACACAGTGATGTTGATGATTGGCTGATAACTTTTGACTCAAGCACTTTGAGTCCATGAGAAAACTCTGTATGAAAGCATCACCAATGATTAGGAATTTGCATGGTGTTTACTCACGGGTGAATCGACGGGGTCTTCGCTGCAATACGTTCACTGCCCGGTCTGTTTTTCCCCCAAATCCGTTGGGGTGGCGGTTTGCAAGCAGCCGCCAGTGGCCCTCATGATGTCTGGAAACCTTTGCGAGGCCCAAGCTGAAACAGGCTGGTGGGCTAAGCGAAGTGGCAAAAGATTGCTGGGAACCGAATTAGTCATGGTAGGTCTATGTAGAGTACGTGAATGTACAGTATATACACACATATATATATATGTATAGCTAATTATGGAGTTTCAATCCATGAGTATCATGTCTCTTTGATGTCGTAAACTTGAATGCAAAACCAGAAAAGCTACATGCGACTCTCCAACACCATCACCAGCCTGCAACGAAGCACACACAGACCGTATTTGATCGTATTTGTAATTAGATGTAATTAGAATCATTGTGAATCTCACTTAGAACTCCCATAATCATCGTATTTGTTCAACGCCTCATTTTCGAAGCCTCAGTTTCTTGTTGCCGTCGAAGCCGTCGAAGCAGTCGTCGTGGACCCTTTGGACGGTGAAGACCCCCGCTCCGCAGGCGGTCGAAGGCGGATATGCCTACGCCATGCCACAGGACGCGGAAGCAGAAGACATGGCATCTCGTCTCCCGCATCATTGGTTTTGGATAACCTCTATCGTGAGGGTTGTGTTTTTCTATGCAAGGCTTTCTAGAGGACGATCATGATGGTGTGGCGTTGAAGCCTATACTGACTCCTGACCTGCAAAATGATTACCCTGCTAGCATCATTGGCAAACCTGTCAGTTGTGGATCGAAGACTGACGGCTCAGGTTCGGGGGTTGGGCAATTGCACATAAAAAATCAGAGAACGAACAGAGGGTTTTCGGGGGTCGATGTTCGCAAGCAAACTCTGGAAATTCGTTTGGTGAAGTCCCATCGACAGAAAAAGTATAAACAAGTGTATCCTTCGGCAGGTGTAGGATTTCCTCACACAGAATTGTTTTGCACCGTTATGCTCTCTGGGTCCCCAAAGCCAGGGCTTTGGCCGCGGGGCATTGATCCCGTGGCCAGTTGCACGTTTGGGGATTTGGTGGTCAAACTGTTCTAGAGAGTGATGTTGAGTTGGGGTGTCGTAGCCTGAAAGTCATATTTTTTGGTAGAGGGTTTCCCTCGCCGCAATGATTGCAGAAGGTTGTCAGACTCTTCATGCTCGTGAGCGACACATGAGGTGTGCGCAGCAAAACTTCATGTGACACGAATTCCAGAAGATTCTTAGAGGGGGTTGACCTTTACTTTCTATGTCTTTCTATCTATTCTGGGGTGACTAAAGCTCGCTGCTGGACAAGTTTCTAGGATGAGAAGGAAGTTAAGCGATGTTGCTTGCAGGACTGTTGCTGGAGTCTCCCCGATTGAGTTGACATATTCTTTCCACAGAAGTTTGAGTTTTGATGCTGCAAGATGTCCCGGATTTGACGGCACCGAGTCACGGACCATGTAAATACACACATTTTGGAATCACCGGTCATTAGATTGGGTTTGGTTGACATTCACTTTGTTCCCTGACAGTTTTCACATGTTTTCACATTTGCTTCCAGCACTTTGTCTCAGCGCGTTCGCGATGTGGGCAGAAGGTCAGATTGTGTGGTGCCAGATCTTCTCCACCTGCTCTCCTTTGCTTCATAGACACTGGCCCCGTGTTTCGTCTTCACCAGCCAAGGCTGTGCTGCTGATGTTGCATTCATCCTGTGCGCTTGGAGATGCCCTTTGGCTGCTACCGGGAGGTGGATGGGAAGTCACGGAAGACTGAACAGAGAACAAGATGTCCACGTGGAATCACTGTGTTTCTTGGGGATTGATATCAGACACCGTTTTTGAATCCGTTTTTGACACGTGAGGCCGTTCCATCTCTTTCGGGCAAACGACCGAGGCGGCCGCGGTTCGGAGGCTGCTGCCGGTGACGAAGGACGTGGACGCCCTGGATGAGTTGGGCGCGACCGCGCTGGAGAAGGCGGAGTCGAGAGTCGAAGGGAGACCGGTTCCCAGGGGTTTCGTCCGGACGCAGGCGGGGTAGCTGGTGGAGAAGGATCTCTCAAGTTAGGTGGTGTGTGCATGTGTGCATGTGTGTTGGAATGTCCATGTCAAGATGTTCAGGTTTGAGCTAGATGGTCTGTGACCATGGTCAATGGCCCATGGGTGATGGCGTAACATTCTAGAAGGATCCACCATGAATTCAGTTTTTTTATGCAACAAAGCACTCACCTTAGCAGGGACACAGTGGTTTGGTGCCTTGTTTTGGTGTGGACGGAACTCTATTGGACCTGCTACCAATCCTTTGCAAGTTGTATGATGGTTTTTCAATGTTTTCCACAGTTCCAATCCTTCTAAGCTCATATTATTCATCCTTTGCAAACAGAGTTGTTGTCGAATGATTTTCCACGATCGACTCGCGTTCGGTTACGACGACTTGGCTCTTCCTCTTCCAGTCTTCCAGGTGATACACGGGATTTCTCGGGAAACTCCGCTTTGCCCGTTCACAAGGTCCACTTGATCCCAGTGAGATGTCGCGATGACAGGAACAATCAGGAACATCTAGGAACGCTGCTGGGGGCGTATTACGTGTTTTTTGTTTGGTTGTTTGTTTGCTAGACCATGCTGGACCCCATTGGAATCCCCAAAGTGAGGTATATAAAATGCTTGGCTACTCTTCAGTCCATTGTCCTTGGAGCTTGTTTTGGCCGTCCAGGATCTCGGTGCCCAGCTTTGTCCGCTCCAGGCTTGTTTGGTGGGTCACGTGGAGGTTGCTGAGTTGCTCCTGGCAAAGGGCGCTGACGCGCAGGTGGGCCGAAACCGGTCGGTTGCCCATTTCATCGAGTCAGGTGGGCTTGGCCGTTTAAATTAGTAGGAACAATGTTCGCTACTAGGAACAAGTGCATCGCTTCTAGTAACAAGTGCCTTACTACTAGAAACAAGAAGCTACTAGAAACAAGAATTAGTAATTAGAATCAATTAGAATTAATTAGAAACCAATTAAAACATGTGGAATCATGTGGATTGTTTACTGGAGTCTCGGACACCAGCTGTGAAGCAAGGAGCACGTAGCACTCGCGCCTCGTGGTCGGGAACGTGTGCATAAGGTTATTTAAGCAACATATCCCCTATGAAGAGGTGTGTGTACCTTCTATAAATTCTATATCCTCCCATTTTGCAGACTTACCTGCAGAAGCAAGTTCAGTTCTTACTGTTGAGAGATGTTGAGAGGGTGTGGTGTTGGGAGTCCCAATCTTACTAGGCTGCGGAAGGCTTCCTGTTCGAAGCATTTGCCAATTCCATGTTTCATTGTATGATCCCACACTGCATTGGACACCCTCCCTCCCACAAACATGGAAGTAGACAATCCCCTGTTTGTAGAGAAAAGGGTTTCTTTTTTGTGGTCATTTGTCCACTTGCATGCTTGGAGGGTTTAATGCTCAAAAGCCACATCCCAATTGCCAAGGGGATCCAGGGAGCACCCTCCACGCCTTTGCATCGCCGGGTAGCTCAAGTGGATGAGAGCAGAGTGCTGTGACATATTGTCATTAGGCCTGGTTGCTTTGGACGCCTGCCCAAGACTGATTCCAGTGCTAGTAGCGAGCTTTGCGCTCTCATGAACTATAGTGCCTTTGCCAAGCTCCGTTGGATTGCGTTGGGCACAAGATACGGTGTTGGTGAAGACGAGAATGTGCCCTGACGCTTCGCCGAGTTGGGCTGTCTTAGCGGCATCCATAGCGGCCACAGAGATATGATGGTTGTTGAGTTGAATTCACAGGGATGTCTTAGATGACTTTCCAGGAATCAAGTACTTCCAGGGTACCATGCGACGCAGATCCGCTGAGATATTACTTGATATCGGGGGACTCCGGTAGGTCCGTGGGTGATATGTTTGATGACTTGCGTCGCGTCAACAACTTAGCCCAAATTGCAGAGCTTGCCGCATCCTTCGTGGACAAATTTGGACGACTTGTCCCACTTGTCAATCGTCCATGTCCGATGCATTGTTCAATTTGGGACACGATGCATTGTTCAACGGTTACTCTTGCATTCGAATCCCAATGTCCCTTCACAGAACAGGCCAGTTGGCCATCCCTCAAATGCTCCTCTCAAATCATGTCATGTAGATGTCCACCGAGGAGCTGCAGCCTTGGGTGATGGCCCCAAGACTCATCGGTTGCTGAAGCTTTTGTTGGCCACTCGGCAGCACAGCAGGTGACGACAAATCACATGGGACCAGGCGAGTTGATGTGCAGAAACTCTCCACCTGCAGTCTGCAGGCACCACCTGCACTCCCGAAACCACCACCAGTTGGTATTTGTTCCTGGGCTCCACTAGGCTCCCCTAGAAGGTGTAGCATTGTGTTCATCAATGGTGGCTGTTCCCTTAACAGCTGCGTTAGCAGTTAGCAATAGTGGTGATGGTAGAAGGAGAAGTAGTGGGGTGGGGACCAGTAGCAACAGTAGCAGGAGGAACAACCGGTTGCGACAACCTTCCATGAGTTGTTAATTGAATTGGTCCAAAGTGGTGGTCTATGAGTAGATCAGATTGCAAGCCCAGAGAGAGGTGGTTTTGAATTCGTCCCGATATGTTCCCTTTAAAAGGTGGTCGACCATGGGGTTTGTGCGATTTACTCTTGCCTCTACTGTAGAAAAGTCGTGCACTCTGTGAATCATTTCACCACTTTTCATGCCGTGCATGCCATCGTGGGGAGTGAAGATCCCCTTCTCTAATCGGTAGAGCATGGCAGGTCGGAGTCTCACAGCTGGAAAGGTACTAGTAAGGCACTTGATACTAGAAGCGATGCCAGGAGCCCCTAGTAGCGTTCTTGCTCCTAGTAGTAAGGCCAGGAGCCCCTAGTAGCTTCTTGTTATTACTAGTAAGGTAGCTGTGCTACATCCCCTTTGCACAGAGATGAGAGGGGAAGGCATGTGCCTTTGTTAGGTTGTGCTCGCTCATTGATGGTAGTGACGATGATAGAATGCTGTAGCGTGCTTTTTTTCCATCATATAACTATATACATAAATATATATATATATAATATTTGTTGTTTTTCCACTGAGGAGAGCCACTCGCCGTGTTCCAAGGCGGTTGTGCATTGCATGTAATGTCCATCACGCAACACTCCAAAAGCCGCTGTACTTCGCGCGCTGGCCAAGGACCACGGTGCTAACCCCAACCTCAAGGATTCGCCAGAACCTTGGTCAGAACGGCCAGTCGCACAGTGAACATCGGAAACGCGTCCAGAATCAGCTTCTTGAAGAAGCGCCTATGGTGTTTTTCTTTTTGTCGGGTGTCATTTAATTAGGTATATGGAGATGCGGGAGGTTCGACCCACAAGTAGACTCCCCTTCAAGAAAGATCACCACTGAGGCAATGGGTGGCCAGCGCAGATTGGGATTTGTTTTCCAGTTGGGGTCAACTGAGCCACACGCGTTGCCTACACTAGTTCTTTTTTCCTGCCTTGTAGCAACCTGAAAGACGAAAAACCACATCTTCCAAACCTGCTTGGAGGGACACGAACTTCCTGAACACGTACACATCTTCCAAACACAGTTTCCTGGAACACGAACTTGCACGTTTATCGACTTGTTACACGTGTGTTTTCCGAGGTCGGGGCGCTTGGCGGCAGACTTGTTCGCGGATGCTGCGGGGTGGCAATTGCCCCTGGGCCGATCAAGGGGTGAAAACTGACACCTAGTAGCGTCCTTGCTCCGAGTAGTAAGGGCAGGAGCCCCTGAATCACTTCATGGACTCTTTTCTCAACTTGGGCACTTGGGACCTCCAAGAAGACTGGCGGAACAGTCATTTTGCGGCCATGATGGCACTGGATTTGTCACCAGATCCGTCACAGGGAAGGTGGAGCATTCCTTGCGGATGGATTTCTGTTTCTTTCTTTGAGGCATTGCAATCCTCTAGTGGTATAATCCATACCCAAGGGATCCCAAGGGCACCCAGGTGCAGTCCCTTTTATAGATGAAACACGTGGCACTCCACGGCTGGTATATAGGTGCCGAAAACCTCGCGGAGCATTGCATTTTGTGGGCCTCCTTTCGGGTGTGCATTAGAATGGGGAGGCACCCCAAAGAGGCCCGGGAAGAGAAAAAAACCAACTTAAAAATACTTTACTGTATATACGGGACGAGAAAAATCCAACTTAAAAATACTTTATATACGGGAAGAGAAAAATCAAACTTTAAAATACTTTATATAATTATTGTAACATCTTAGACACACACCAAAGTCACTAAAGCCCAATGGTCTACTGTAGGTGTCGTCTCTCGGTGTGTCTTCCTATTCACCAAATTACACGCCTCTATAGTCTCCATTTGGCCACTGCACCACGGCACCCAACATCCCATTGAGGCCCATCCTACAGCCAGTGGACCGCTCGAAAAGATGCGATGTTGGTCGACTTTGGCTCGGATGACCGTGATCATCAGGGATCATGGAAGAAAAACATATTCAGGATCAAAAGGTTTGTGATTCGTCATTCGTTCTACTGGTTAGAGGATATTGGAAGATTATGGGTGGGTCTTCGAGGTTGTCGAGGACGTGATTTGGTCCATGCTGAGTTTTTAGTGTGCAAGCAGCACAAGTTCGCTTCCAACCTAACTGCGGACTTCACAGCTGTGAACATGAATTGCCTTTTTATCGGAACTCCTGCCAATTTCCGAAGCTACACCAGGCCCCAGGAATTTTGGCCCATCACTATGGGTTGGAGGCGCTAGTAGGTTGGAGGCCATCAGTATGGGTTAGTCTCATCCGATTCAGTCCTTAGGCCGCTTTTGCTTTCCTCCCGCCACCACTTCGTCGGTGTCAATCGCGCCACGTCCGTTGTCCACTCCTGGGGTAACGAATGACCAGTCTTTTCATGTATGATCTAAGGATCAAGATTCCATAAGATTCCTACATCGCCAGAAGAGGGGCTTCCTCTCCAACCGAGGGTCTTTTTCGAGCTCAGGGAGGTGATTCTGTTTGTTTTGCTGTTCCCTGGCGGCCGCTCGCTTGGCCCTGGCGGCCCTGGCCGATAGGTGCTGTGCAGCTCAATGATATGCTCACACGCTCGGCCATCTTCATTCCTTTGTGGATCATGTACGCCCGCATCGCGCAGAGATCGATCCAGATCGGGGGGGCGTAGGCGATCGATTGGTGGAGTCTCCGTGTGGGTTCCAAGGCGGAGTCTCCAAAGCCATGAGGCTTTTCTGTCCCTCGAATTGTTGGAACCTGTAGCCCAAAACTGATGGTGGACAAAGAATCCACGAACAAACCTGGGTGCCGGATCATATTCTTTCGTTGGTGAGTTGAAGACACCAACCAGAAAAACACGGTTGACCATCCACTTGGACCAGCATTGGTGTGGTCCAGTGGACTTATTGTAGTCCCGAAACGTTCTGATGGGGCCAAGCAGTTGTGTCGTGTCCACGAGGCCTCCGATCAACCGCAGTGGATTCGCGAGGATCGTGTGACCTTTGCCATCCAAAGCCACACGAGAATCACGAGACACCGGACCTGTGTGGCTTCTCAAGAACGGTCCGCGGGTGTCCACACATCGGATGTGTGTGGGGAGTTGACATCCGGTGGGTTTGCACTGGACTCTTTTCGGAGGTAGTTTAGTACACTCCTGAAACTACCGTAAACCCTGAAAACCACTGGTTTGGTAGATGAAATCCATCTTCCGGGGGGGGGCAATCTCAGGGTACAGGGTACATGTTAGTTTTCGGGAGGGTAGTACTGTAGTAGATTGTTCATGCATGAAATGTGATTAATATCGAGCATCATTTGTTCTTTCTTGCGGAGGTCAAGCGCCGGTCCAGCTGCGCTATTTGCCTTGCAGCTACGTAGAGCCATGTCTGTGGGGAGAGTGTGAAGGTTTTGGCATCATTTGGATACTTTTCCAAATGACCTGAAATTGACCTGAAAGCCTGAAAGATGAACTTCCCAACGGCAATTTCGTGGGCTAGCCCAGCCAGGACTACCTTATGACAATCTGGGGTCCAGTTGAGGACAACTTCCGCTCAACGGCCAGTCCTGGTGGACCGGTACAGGTCATGGCTGAAGTTCTGAAAAGAGACCTGTTTGCCAGGAACAATGTTCGCTACTAGGAACAAGTGCATCGCTTCTAGTAACAAGTGCCTTACTAGTAGTAACAACTGCCACGCTACTAGGAACAATAAAGCCTGGACCATGGAATCAAGAATCTCCTAGATGCGTTACAGAAGTTCTTCCAGCAGCTGGTGTTCCAAGACATACTTCCGTGCCCATGCAGCACATATGGGCAGGTCTGAGCAAACTCGCTTTGGCCTTGCATGATGTGGCTCCAGGAGAAACAAAGCGCATGACTGGGCTCCAAGCAATGAGGAGCAACCCAAGAACTAAACATATGCTCAACTGCTCAACAGATGTTACCTTCAAACATGATCAACTGATTCGCTCACAAAAACATGATGCTTTCGCGTCCAGCAAGGTGGAATTGCCCCGCTATCCCAAGCAGACCACTCCAGCCAACCAGTCCAGCCAGAGCTCAGAGCCAAACCCAGCCCGTTCTCACTCGACTGAACCCATCCAACCTGTCCTTGCCGTCACTCAAACACACTGCAGATGCCATGTCGGACGATCCTCCGGGCACGCCTCCAGTCCCTCCAGGTGCCGAAAGAGAGGAGTTGCGACGGGTTCTACGATATACCACTTACAGTCACATTATAGTAAATAGATGTAAATAGTTTATACACACATAAATATATATATATATATTGTGTATTACACACACTGGCGCGGGCCCGGCCACTTCCCACCACTTCGCGCTCCCAAGCGCGGCTGCTTCCTTTTCCAACTCTCCAAGGTCAACGAGGCGAGGAGGACGCCTCCAACGAACAACCGGCGGTCCGCCGCCACCACGCTCTATGGCGTGCCACGCTCGTGCCAACCAAGCCCCCTGACTTTCGAGCCTTGATGGCGTTGGATCAAATGCATCCCCTTCCACTCCACGAGTGACCCTCCGGCATCTGACGAGATCGAGCGACCGATGGCAATGTGGCGGCACAAATCAACATTCCTAAAATTTTCTCTTCTTTAAGAGTTCTATAACAAAAACATGCAAGGCTTTGAGATTGGCTCACTCCTGAATCTCGGCTGACAGGGTGGCTCCAAGTGTTATTATCCCCTGTAATCATTTACAGATTACTTCCCACACAACATTGACACACTTGCGAGTTCACGGGGGCTGCCGATTGGATCCACGCTTGCCTCAGACGTTTGTCTGATCTTTGCTTGAGGACTTCTTCGACATCACGAAGTCGACATCTTCCGTGTTGGAGGAAGGTTCGCATCACTGTGGTATCCATATCTTTCGTGAGCGAATCAGCCATCTGTGCTGCGCTATGTACCCATTTAATTAGTATCCCTTCTTTGAGTCTGTCTTTTATCACCAAGGCCTCTAAGAGTGTTCGATACTCTGAGCATGATGGGACTGCCGTCTTTTGAAGAAGGTCAAAAAGGCTTTTGCAATCTACCACAGCAAATGCTTGTGGGAGCTTAGTCAGGGTTTCGGCCGGTGTCCTCCATTCGGTTTGCGGGTCTAGCATCCAGCTCCAGTGCAATCGAATCCAACTTAGTTGATCGAGTGCTCCTGAGAGTGCATAAGTTTCAGATGCTAACGTGCTTGACACTACCCGTTGGATTTTCTTAGAGCTCCAGACTAGAGGGCTTACCCTGGACCCTTGTGATTCTTCTACCTTTGGGGTGGTAGCTAGAATAAAGGTTCCTCTTTGGGAATGCGCCCTTTCTCGAGTCGCGAATGCGGCATCCGAAAATGACATGAACCTCACATCCCCAGCTGGAAGTGATTGTATTCGGATTTGGACATCGGCATGGCGTTTTGTGTCATCTAGTAATCGGTTTGCTTCGAGCAAGTCTCCGATGACAGCATTTGGAATCTTAGCCTGGAGCAGGCTCAGTCGGCATGACACATCTGGGCGTGTATTTGTGGCAGCATATTGGAGGCTTCCAATCAATCCTCGAAGGCCCTGAATTTCTTCCTTTGTGGCAAGTGTTTTGGTTTCTTTTCGTCTTTCCCGTGGAATGTCAATTGGGGGAATGTTCTTTACATACTCGGTCTGATTGAGGGTGATGTCCCCTGATGCTTCTTGGTTGACTTGGATTCCGGTGAAAACGAATTTTTGGGTCTTCTTACTCCCAAATGGGTATTTTCTTTCCAAGGCATCAATCGCTTTCTCGAAGATTGCGTCCCCCCCACAGATTCCATCGTCTACGTGTATTCCTAGAACTCCGTGGATTTGACAGGGGTCATGGGACTGTCGTTCATGAGTCTTCTTTGGTAGGATGAACAAGCATGGGTCAAGAGGTGACACCAGGAAATCCAGTCCTAATAGTGCCTTACGAAGCTCGGCATACCAAAGCAGTGGTGCATTGACCAAACCGTATGCTCCCTTCAGGAGTTCACATGTTTCATTGCTTTTGAGGCCTAGCTTTTGGCGAAGTTCCTCTGGCGGTTCGATTGCAAGGATTCGATCATCCTGTTTGCTTCCTCTCAAAAATGCAGTTGCGATGTCGAATGATCTTAATGACCATCTTTGGGACGCAATCATCTGGAGGGCGAGCATCCGGCTGTCCCGGCCAAGGGTGGGACTATCCCGTTGCACACTGTCCAGGTCGGGATCTTCATATCCAAGGACGACTAACCTTGCCTTCGCCTTTCGCTGTTTTCCTGTTTCTTGAACTGTCTGTTCATCGAGTGGTTTCCAGGTCAGGATCCAACGTGTTCGCAGGATCTGGTGTTCAGGTACCTGGCTCCTAAGGATTCGACGAATGGTCTCGGTCGAGATCCACTGATTGAGTTCTTTCTCTTTGGCTTGTTCGAATTCTTTTCGTTCGCTAGCTGACAGATCTCTCATTCTTACTTCGATCTTCTGTCGCTTGGCGGCTGAAGCAATGAGTGCAATTTGTTGCTTTTGGTTTACTTTTCTGCACCTATTGATTTCAGCAGTTGTCAGCATGATTTCACATTCCACTCCGGTGGGTTTGCTATCTTCTATGAGTGGAGTGGGTGCTCGAGTTTGAAGATCCTTCCCCTTCAGTGGGTCTACTTGGAAGACAGTTTTTCCTGTCCACACACTTGACACACAGCCGTGGCTCACCACCGAGTCTTTCCACACGTCTTGGTGATGTACTGGCTTGCCATGCTGAGTTTTCCCTAGTGTCAAGCGATGTCCTTCCAAGGCCTCTACTGGGATGGGACATGATGGATCGTCAGTGGGATGAAAATACCTCATTCGTGGGTTCACATGGTGTCGAATCAATTTGTTCCCTACGACCTGCCAGTGATCATGCACCATATTCGTGACCACCAGGCTGTCATCATCATCTTCTGGCACAGGAACTTGTGCGGCATCCGGCATCGGACTGTCCCCAATTGTCGGACTCGCCGGTCGAGTTGAACTGATTTCAGGTTCTGTGTCGGGTTGCTCTGATCCTATCGAGTTGGGTCGACTTCCACGAGGGACTTCCCCAGGGTTGCCAGGAATGATTTCCGGTGGGCTTTCTTCTGAGGGCCGTGCATCCCTACTTCCTCTTGGGATTTCACTTGGGATTTCCTGAATTTGGTCCTGATATTGGAAAACTCCTGCCCCTTGAATTGGTGTGGTTCCAAGTTCTTTCAATTCTCTGGCTAACAGCTGCTCATGCGAGGACAAGACTCGGACGTGTTCTGGAGCTACTCTGTACAGTCTTGTGAGATGAGACAACCAAATGGCATTGTGTTCAACCATGAGAACTCGGGCAGGTCCTAGCCAACGACCCTCTTCGGTTCGAGATGATTTCCAGTACATTACCCAATCCCCTATTTGGTGGTTCATGCGAAACGGTCTTGACCGGGCATGCAATGACTTCCTCAGCACGGAGCAATGGTCAGCCTTGACGTATGCTATTCGAGCAGCTTCTCGCAGCATCATTTGGTGTCGGAAGTGGCTTCCTTCCGTGTCCAGAAATGACGAGGCCTCCTGAGGGTCATTCTCCATCAGACTGCCAGGCACGCGGCGGCTCTTTCCCAACACCAAGAGTTCAGGGCTGTACCCAGCATGTTTGGACAATGTGTTCTTAGCACAACACAAATGAAGTAATGCTTGTCGAAACCCTTCGTGGTCTATGATGGACTGCTCTGCATGGTACTTAGACAACATGGTCTTAAGAATTGCCCCATTTCTTTCTGCTCTTCCTAACTGCCAATGTGCTCGCGAAGGTATGGGGTAAGCTTTGATGTCATGGCTTTGGAGGAATTCGCCGAACTCTTGACTGTTGGCTTCTCCACAGCTGTCAAACATCACCTCCTTGGGTGGACCGGCCCACCTGATCCAGGCATCCTCGAAGCACCTCATGAGACTTTGCGATGTTCCCTGCTGATATGGAATGGCAGTGTGAAAATTGGTGGCAGAATCAATGAAATGATAACACCAAAAACTTTTCCCCTCGGTGGTCTTCCATTCCAATGCATCAAATGAAACTAGATCATTGAAGTCCTTGGGAGCTGTGAGATGCGCAGGTCTCGCAATCTTTGGGGCTTCTTGTTCTCGGCAGGTGTCACATACGAAATCCGGCAAAGCTCTGATGATAACATCAGACCACCCCTCACTTTGTAAGGCGGCTCGCAATTGAGGCAGACCAGGGTGTCCTAGATTCTTATGGATCTTTATGATTTGGTTTTGCACTTTGTCCGGCAATGCACGGAACAGGGGTCCATGGACCGGCTTGAGCACACGGGACTTCTCTGGCTCTGACTCGGGCGGCTCCTGTTCGGCATTTCGATCAGCCGTCTCAGGATTCAGCGTTGGTGGCATTTCCCCTTGGTCCGGTCCAAAATGGTCCGGCTCATATGGTTGGCTCACACTCTTTTGGTTCAAGCTATGCTCGGCAGCAAACATGGTGAGCAACAAACGAGTGGGTGTTCCGGCCCGAATTTGTTGTCTATTCGAAAGTACTGTCCAATTTTCCCAGTCCTCATCTACCATGGTTGTTTGATCGGTTCGTTTCCTTCCTACTGCTCGTCGAAACGGACAGCTTTGTGGGGGTACATTCTTTGGTGGTATTCTGAGTCGGTTGATTCCCCTGCATGCATCAACAGCAATGATTTGTTTTTCCGGAAACAACTGTTGAAGTTTGTCAATGATTTTTCCTTGTGTGATCCAATTTCTTCCGACCCGCGGTGTGACATGGTCGGCTTCTTGGAGAATTTCAACGACTCGAGCGTGCACATCCGGTGCACTGCTTGGCTCCGGTGGTGATTTGGTCTCAATGCGGCGACGCTTCACTTCCCTGTGTAGGGTATCTTCTCCGACTAAGATGTCGTCTAAACCTTGTGCGATAGCTTGTTCTTCATGGTTCTTGGCTATGAGTCCAATGACCTGGCCTATTCGTCGCGCAAAACCCCGAGTGTACATCTCCGTGTATTTAGTCACTGGCATTCGACCACGGCCTGGGACTTGACAGCTGCCGGCAATTGGCATGTGTTTATGATGTCCAAGGCACTGCCACTGTTCAATGGTCCTATGGAGTACTCTTGATGTGGTCCAAATTTGCATACGCTTCTTCAGGAATGTGTCCCCGTGTTCCGGATGTCTCAAGTTTCCCCCTGTGCACATGTCGAACTTAGCTTGCAGCGTGTAATGCACAATGAAGGACAGTTCTCCCTGAAAGAGCATATCTGAGTTTACTGGTTGTTCAAGATGGAAATGACAATCTGACCTCCTACGAATCTGCATTCGGCATAAGGCATCACACAGGTGAAGGTGGCATCTCTCATGAGACCTGGCCCGAATGATCCTTTCCGCGAGAATCAGGGACTTCCCGGCATTCAGATGACTCCATCCAGACCATGGTCCACAGGTGGGTGATGTCCAGATATTTCGAGGTCGGGTCACCCAGATGAGATCATATAGCTTGCAACGGCCTCCGAAAGTCCCAAGGTCTCCGTTATGGCGACAAAAACGAACGGCTTTGAGTCCAAGCTCCTGTGTCTGTGAGGTCAGTTGACTTTCAGTGTCACAGTACACCTCCAACAAGTCAATCCCTATTTTGCTCAAGTGACTGTCGATGGCTTCTGGGGTTCCATAGTGTTTCCCAAAGTACTGGCACATTTCTTGGTAAATGGGATTTGTGACCGTGACCTGAAGATCCTGAAAATATGCCTGATCTATGACTCCTTGGGGATTATCTTGGTATGTGTCACACCCGGTGCAATCCATGAGCATGGATCTGACCTCACTCGGCACTTTGAGTGGACTTTCTGGCTCAGTCACCGCTCTCACTTGGTCTCAATCTGTGTGGTGCCCGCTGCCTGTGCTTCCAGCTTGGGATTGTTTGGCGTCAGCACCTGGAGTATGGCTTGCAACGTGCTTTCCAGTTGATCGAGTCGGTGATTTTGATGCTCGATGGTCAGATCGCGGAGATGATTCTCGTGATCTTCTTCCACCACGTCCCACATCCCTTCGCTCAGCCACACCGCATTCTCCTCTGTCGATGCAGGGCGCAAAGCTGAGCTTGCTTTTGCCTTGGGATATCCCTTGGTCGATGTGACCTGAGGGACGTCCATGGTCACTCCCCGGTTGGTCTCCTCCTCCTCGATGCACCTCCGAAGATAGCTCACGAAAGCCTTGTGGGCTGGTTTGGAACTGTCCTGGTAGCGACTGAGAAACCAGCTGACATACTTGGGATCGGTCTGCAGCACCTCGCGATAGGTTTGGCCTCGCTTGGCCTCCCCGAATGTGATCTTCATCATGGACAATTCTTCGATTGTCATCACTTCCGGATCCTGCTGTTCGGCGGTCACAGCCATGTGCAGGGCCTTGAAGCGATCTGACAGGGATGTTCCCTTGCTGCTGGACATGGCGATCAGGCTCACTCGACGGATCCGGATGGCTTGGGCACGAATCGCTCTGTTCGGTGGTGGTGCATGACGGCTGATTCTCCGAAACCTGATCTTGCGACCTTGAACCTGGGATTTCACTCACACTAAGGATGCTGTCAGGACATACCTGAGTCGAACCTCGTGCCTGTGAGCTGGAATCCTTCTGTGCTAAACGAACGAGTTCTGCAAAATCCAGGAGGTACAGTTTCTTTTCAGTCAGCTGCAGAGGGAGTCGCAGATTCAGGCGTCCAAAGAAAATCTCGTCTGAGGCGGTGTGAATCGAGGCTTCGAGCTTTCTAAACATGTTATTTGATAACAGGAACGGCGTTTTCGAAGGCACAATGCAAATCTTGACATAATAAGGTCCTAGTGGAACTAGCAGGGCTCGATCACACTTCACTGTACTGCTATTGCCGAATCGAAAAACCGTGCTGCATGACACTTCTCGGACGGGAGTGGACTTCGGCAGTTGCTGAATGACTTCATTCACCTGGTGTTCTCCGATCACCGTTTGGCTGGCGCCTAAGTCCACAATTCCGAATGAGCCATGACTTACAAAAAACGATGAGGCCTCCACCGGCGTTTCTTGGCCAGTGATTTCAGTCAGGGGGCTACGGTCCAGGCTCAATCTAGCCTTCATGGTTGGCAACAGCCTGAGAGTGCATGACCGAACGTTCTGCGACCCCATCTTGGTTGTGATGTTTTCCCTATGACCTGTTTTACCCCTACTCCGGCCCAAATGAACATGCTGAACCATGAACGCTGTTGACCAAGTGGCTTCCGCAAGTATCATGTCGTCTTCATCATCGTTGGACTGGTTCCGGTCGAGTTCATGAAGGGTCAACCCCGTGAACGTTCCGTTCTCCCTGGGTGCAGTGGATCCAGAGGCTGCCGGATTCTGATTTCGGAGCGGACATTCCGCCTTCCAATGTCCACGGGCTCCGCAACGTCGACAGTTGCTCTCCAGAATGCGTTGAGCGAGTGGCTTCCGAGGTCGAAAATCGAATCGGCCACCCTTTCCTTTTCTGTCTTTGCCCTGCCCCTTTTTGGAGGGTCCCCAAAACCCCCTCCCCTTGGCTCGATCGGCGAGGCGCTTTCGAGCCTCAGTGTAAGCATTCAAACATGCGGCCATGTCGGGATCTCCCTGCAAGGTGTCCATGAGTCCTTCTTCAAACTGCATGCAAACAACTGCATCCGGATCACCTTCTTCGGCCAATTGTTCAATGAGATAGTCATCCACAAAGTGTTCACCCACAAAACCATGCTCCTCTTCCCCAGTGGAGTGTTGGGATGACATCAATGTAGGTTCATCTTCTGTGAACAATGCTGTTGTATCATATGTCTTTGTACGTGTGGTGTTTGGCTTCCCAGTGTGAACCTCGTGGAAAAACCGGCTTCCCAAGAGCTTGAGGTTGGTGACCACGGAACGGTAATCCAGGGATCCCTGGGATTCTACTATCAACCGCTTTTTGTCCTCGGGGCCCATGGAGGAGTTCCTCAACAAAATGTATGCACGGAACTCTTCAATCCCAACTTTCATACTCATCAGCTCCTCGAACTGGTGGTCATGTCTAGCCAGGTAGCTCTCATGGGTCTCATCCGACCGCTGGACTGTTCCATAGATGGCCTTCTCAAAACGCTCAAACTTGTCCTCCAGTCGTGACTTCCCCCAGATTCCTCCGAGGGTCTCCACGATCAGTTTCACCCCATCCAAACTATTCACACGCAACTCCTTTGGATCCAGGCGGGAAACACGTTGGAACGCTGAGCCTTCACATTGAAGCGCAATGCGGGGGGCCAACAACTGTAAATGCTCCTGCGGCCACAACTGCGCCAAAAACTCGACCTTTTTGGTCCACTCAGTCAGTTCTGTTTCGCCCGGCTTGAATCCTGGAATTTGGCTCCAGGGAAGATGGCTGAGGCTGCCAGTGTTGTTTCCTCCAACTTCTTTAGGCGGCATCGAATCACCTTCCTGGAACCCTCACAGCTTCCGAGATCGACCAGCGTCCTCACCTATCGGTCTCGGCCGTGATGGGCTCCGCTACCAATGTGTATTACACACACTGGCGCGGGCCCGGCCACTTCCCACCACTTCGCGCTCCCAAGCGCGGCTGCTTCCTTTTCCAACTCTCCAAGGTCAACGAGGCGTCCTCGCCTCCAACGAACAACCGGCGGTCCGCCGCCACCACGCTCTATGGCGTGCCACGCTCGTGCCAACCAAGCCCCCTGACTTTCGAGCCTTGATGGCGTTGGATCAAATGCATCCCCTTCCACTCCACGAGTGACCCTCCGGCATCTGACGAGATCGAGCGACCGATGGCAATGTGGCGGCACAAATCAACAATATATATATTTAGATGTAGGGGTTCGTTGTTCTTCCAAAGCTTGTGTGGAGCCTGGCCCCGAATGATGTGCCTTCTACTGGCATTTACTCTGAGTCTAAGTATGCATGTGGGCATTCAGGCAACACATCATGAACTATTCTGAGGTGGTGACAGCGTCTACTGCACTTCATAGTTGGTGTTGCGCGAAGGCAACAAAAGCAGATCAGATCACCAATGCTGAACTTGAGGAAGGAGTTACATTGATGTTGAACCACCTGGGAGGACACAAAGCTTGGCAAACTGGTTGTTGCATTGTCTTGCTCTTGAAGCAAAACAGTTCTTCCATGTTCTTCAATATATAACTAGTATTTACAGATATCCAGCTTGTTCCGTTTTACACTAAAACCAAGACCACAGTGATGAGGAAAGCAGTGAATGAAACTCAATGGAAGAACAAGTGCTTAGACTCCTGCGACTCTCTAACTCGGAACTGTTCTGACCCACCCAGCCAATAAGCGATTTGGCGGAAATGGTATAGGTTCTTCACAATCCAGATGCACAGATTTGTGCATGAATCCTTAATTGTATCTCTAGGGTTTGTCCTATCCTATTACCTGTAACAGTCAGTTAACAGTTTCTAGAGAAAGGCCCTTACTAACCATGGTCATCAACTCTGGTAACGGGATAGACTCAGTGTATCTCAGTGTAGTACCCAGTGTATATCATATCTATGTATCAGTACAGCAGTTACGTGTAAACCACCAGGTCCATGTCGAAAAAGCATCGCTTCATGTCGAGGCCCTTCGCCGCCCTCACGCGTCAGCCCACCGGGGTCAGCGGGGCGAGATGGCCGGCCGCCGCTGGGCCAAACGAAGAGCAGGGCCGAAAGAGTGTAGTAGTAAGGCAGCTTGCTACTAGCAGCTTCTTGCTACTAGTAGTAATGCCCTTGTTACTAGTAGCGATGCACTTGTTACTAGTAGCTTCTTGTTCCTAGTAGTAAGGCAGCTTGCTACTAGTAGCTTCTTGCTACTAGTAGTAATGCCCTTGTAACTAGTAGCGATGCACTTGTTACTAGTAGCTTCTTGTTCCTAGTAGTAAGGCAGCTTGCTACTAGTAGCTTCTTGCTACCAGTAGTAATGCCCTTGTTACTAGTAGCGATGCCCTTTTGGGGAGGTCGAATTCAATGAGGTTCCAATTTGGACGGAACGTTCGGAAGCAAGGATGCACATTGGATTCCCGACATGATGAAAGTCTTCGTTGTGGGAGCTTCTGATTGTCGATTCTAGTCGGAACCAGCGGCCAAAGCAAGTAGGGTTTGCAGAGAGAGAGAGAGAGGGAGAGAGACAGAGAAAGAGACTGGCCCTGCGACAATTTTCAACCAGAAGGCAGGTTACCCACTGAAAAGGATACAAGACAAATAGCAACACCACCGCCAGGGGACCAATAACATGAACAACAGCAACGTCAACACCAACAGCAGATGGCAACCAAATTCGGAACAACCGTAAGAGCATGAACAACAGAGCCCAAACATGTCACAACACCCAAGTGAAGAAACACCCTTTGAAGGGTCTACCATGGTCTACCTGTCTTCCTCAGAAGCCTTTTGCCTCCGTGAAGTGTTCCCAGGTCCTCCTTGGCGCCGATGGCTGCCATTATCCGCTCCTCCTCACAGGGCTCCTTGCACGGTGCCGAGGCGATGTCCCAGGATACGCTGCGGGTTGTGAGGGCGATCCCTTTGCTACTAGTAGCTTCTTGCTCCAAGTAGCGATGCCCTTTGCTACTAGTAGCTTCTTGCTCCTAGTAGTAAGGCCAGAAGCTACTACTAGCTTCTTGCTCCTAGTAGTAAGGCCAGGAGCCCCTAGTAGTGTCCTTGCTCCAAGTAGCGATGCCCTTTGTTCCTAGTAGCTTCTTGCTCCTAGTAGAAACGCCCTTGCTACCTTCTCCCTCGATCGAAGTGTGTGATGTTCTGGGTCAGGATGTGTCCTCAATCATGGTGTGTGTCAAGAAATCAGCCTGGTGGTGGTGCGGATGGTACGTGGTGAGGGTCCGAAGTGTTGAAGGTCGTGTGGACAAGTGCTGGAGTTGGATGGTGCAGAGAAGTCCAGTCCTTTTACTAGCAAGTCATTTGAGTATGGTCTATATCACTTGAACCTGTGAAGATAATGTCATGAGTCATAATGATTACCCAGCTATCTAATTACTGCTGATCAACCAGAACCAGGATTTGTTTGTGCTCAGAGCGCAACTGTTTTCGAGGGTCAAAAGTCAGGTGAAGGTGACGTCTCAACGATGGACTGATCATCAGGTGATAAACACCCCCCTTTAGTGATTAGTGTTACTCTACCTTTGGTTTTCATAGGTTGCACACGACTAGTGACTAGCTGGCAGAGCCTATACCATCCGCAAGGTTCTGGGGCATCGGGAAATCCGATCATCCTGACAAATATCATCAGAGCAAAAATCATGAAGCATCTTCCTCAAGCCATCACTTCGATGAGGCAATGTACACTCCCTGAAATCATCCTGGTTACGTGGATGGCACCATCTGTTTGGTATGAGGGTCTCATGGTCATGCTTTCGGAGCCACGCCATCTACCTGCATGTTTCTATAGGGAGTGTACCGAAAAGGACGCGTTCGTTTGGGAGTTGACGCAGCATTTGCCCAGAAGCTGCGTCACCGGTCAGGCGGAGCGGGAGATGCCCCGAAGCAACAGCAGCGGTGCGTTGCGCCCCAGTAGCGCGAAGCGGCCCAGCACCACCACGTTGCCTAGTGCGCCGGTGGCAGGGTTGGTTGTTTTTTTTGGGGGGGAGTTTGGGATCCATAAGACGGAGACCGTGTTTTGTGTTGTTCTAATTTTGTTTCAATCATATAATATATATATATATTTAATTTTGTGTTTAGTTGTTCTGTTTAGTGCGTCCCGATGTTTGTGGATTACAAGGAATGCATGGTGTGCATGACTGAGTGAGGCGACGCGAAGGGTCCTCAAGGGCACCGCCACTGGAGATCATTGGTCAAACACCCTTTCAGAAGGTAAGACTATTTAGTGTTTGTCGTATTACTATTATCATTATATCACTATTTAAGAGATGTCGGCCTTTGCTAACGATCATCATCCACCTTTGCTGGTACTGGTCATAGGATAGTCCCAAAGACTATTATTGGATATTATTGGGAGATTATATATGTATAATTGATCCCCATTGCGCCAGGTGATCTGAAAAAAAGACTGAGGCGCCCGAGCCTGGCCAATATGCTTCTTCTCTTGCACTACTATCCTCCATTATCCTTTCACCTTCCCGACACATTACAGATTCGGAACAAATCAATTCCTTTTTTAGCATAACTGAAATTATGGCTTCCCTAACTAACAAGCCAACGAAGACACCTCAAACGGTGCTTCCCCTTCTCTTCGGAACGCGCGGACGGGCGTGCCAGGTATCGTGGACCCTCCTCCACCGCCCTTGGCCACTGAAAAGCTGGACCGAGGCGATGGTCTGGTGGTGCTCCAGACATTTGGCACAGAACAGGACAAACAATAGGTATTTCAAGCTGGAGACCGCTTGTGAAGTTGTAGTAACAAGAAGCTACGAACGGAACAAAGGGCATCGCTACAAACGGAGCACAGACGCTATTGGGGCCGCACTTTAGCCCACCCCAGACCCACAAACACATCCCCCTCTGCGCGGACCCCCGTGGCTACACCTTTGAACCAGTGTAATGAGACATGAGGGTTCGCAGTGATGATGGTCAGTACAAGACTATCACAGCAGATCGATTTCTTTGTCAGCTGAGCTTCGGACAACCGGTCAGACAGATCGCTACTGGTGAAGTTGTACAGTTACCGACTTGCATGCACAAGTGAGTTGCAAAGCTTCTGATCATCTTCGGATGGCAGAGTGATATGATCAACGGATCAACGATCCCAAATTTGCTCGCCATGCACTTGCCAGCTGGAAGCTTAAAGCGGAGATTCTTCCTAGACTCAATGACCATTCTCTGTCTGCCACCTTTCGAGTTCATTCTGACATCGTTGATCAGGTCCTCCGTCTTAGTGGAACTGATGCTGCCTTCTACAAACTGCACGGCTGCGAGCGATTCGTCCTGAGATGGATCTCCTCTGGCTTGCAGAAGGGACAACGTTGGAAGCGGCCATGGAGCACGTGAAGGACAAAGCCGTGCATGGAATTGCAATGAAAAGGTGCATCCTTTCAGCCTCGCTTTGCGCGTCGCTTCGTCACAGCGGATGATCTCAAAAAGTATGCCGCCGCGCATGACATCGACGACCACTCGCATTTAGGCAGATGGAAGTTGCATGGCATCCCCAGTCAATCCGGCCCTGCAGGCGCATATGCATGTTCATCGCGGAAGAAAATGGGGATGACTCGCCTGTGTGTATTGAACAGGGTATTCACAAAAGGCAGCTCCAGTAGCAGCTCCGATTCGAAGCAGTCAATGCCGTTGCTAAGAGTCAGCAGTCTCTACATGCACAAGCAGGCCGATCGGCAAAGCCTGCGAACATGTTCGCAGAATGCTCTGGCAAAAGGCGGTCAAAGACATCACAGCTCGTGAGCCGCCGGTGAAGAGAGCAGTAGAAGGTAGCACAGGTGCTATGCCAGAAAAGGCAAAGCAAAGGCAGGATTTGACAACACTGTCCCGTTTCACCGCTATCGTGCCACGTCGCATTCGGCCGGTGTTTGTCGTGCTTCTGGACTCCCAACTCTCTGTGTCTGAATTCATTGGCTGGCAAATCTCTCGCAAAATGCCGGATTAAGTTTTGCCATATCATGACTGGAAACACGCGATCGCAACTCAGTACAGGCACACTGAACATCGATGGCTTTGCTGAACCTACAAAGTGGCTAGCTAGCTGTTAAACTGTCAAACAGATTCAATTCGACATCCTGGCACTTGGAGAAACACATCTCCAACCACACATTCAACGTTCCCTCCACCTTCAATTTCCCAACTACCATCTCGTGCACAGCGTTGGTAAAGCAGACAAGCATTTCACTGGTATCTCCTTCCTTATCAAGAAATCTATTTGCTGGTCTTTTCAAGAATTGCATTGGCCACCAGATCTTTTTCGTGTTTTAGATTCGAACAAGATGATCGACTTGTGGGACCCCAGATCTGGACTGGAGATGGCTCCGCCTGCGTCTTCCTCTTCGTTGCTTATCTCTCTAGTCGTGCCAGATGGGAAGCTGACAAGAAGCAGTACTCCCATTCATGTTTCGCTGCCCTCGAACAAGATCTCCGAGCGCGTGGTGAAATCAGTGCCTTGCTTGTGGTGATTTTAATCTTACAGGCAAAGATAGCAACGTATTGCAAGGATGGAACCAAGGTGGTCCTTGGTTCGACGCTTCTCCGCTCAAGCGATTCGAAGCGACTTGTCACCACGGGAAAGTAGGCTCCCGCATAGATGTTTTCATGGCCTCTAAACATGCTTTTGACCTGTCTCATAGTTATACTATGTTATACTGTTGACGAGGTTAAAGGATGATTGAATCATTCCCTCGTCAAAGTAGCGCAGCTCTGGATTCCGCAGGCATTGCAGATTCGCCGTACTGAAAGAGCAGTCCCCATTTTTCCGCAGCTATCACCTCTCACGAATGAATCGCACATCCTGTCAGGTTCGATGCCTTACTCTTTCACAAAAGCATTGCATGCAGGAAACACAGACAAGGCCATCCAGATTTGGTCACAACATGCAGAAAGCCTCTTGCTCGTCATAGCAGCAAAAACAGGGTAATGACCTTAGCCCTACCACAATAAAACGCGGATAAATGAAGCTCCATGACTCTCGAAGGCACTAAAATCATCAATGGTCAGACAGGATACGAAAATACGGGACCCACAAGCTGGCGCTCTCCTCAGCTGAGATCAGATCTATGCGTGCGGGTATTGTGAGATGCCTTCTCAACACTGACAACTACAGAGCATCTCTGCTAGCAATTTTCACACTCTTAGCACCTCCCTCTCTAGACCCTGAGCTTAGCCTGCATTTTGACGCAGTAGGATTTATCAACCGCTCCCTGCAAAGCCTCAGCGCCGCACAGGATTTTGCACGGTTGCTTCCACCCTGACATCTCATGATGGGCCCGTGGCCCGAGCACACCAAGTTATGAATCATCCTGTTTTCCAAGATTTGATGCAGTATTCTCTACAAAGTCATAGACTTTTGCCTCAGCATCCACATGAACCTCGCGAAAAATGGAGAGATTATGTTTGGACCAGCATTGCCAGAGACAGACCGCAAGCTTATTCAGGCGCGCAGTACGGTGTGAACCGCAAACTTTCCACCTCTCTTCTAGAAACATGGGTAAGTAAAGCAAGCAGACCAGTTGCAGGCTCGCATAGACAAAGGGGAATGCCAAGAACCAGATCCTTTGCATGACCCACATCCGCGTATGAAAGTGCTGCGACTCCTTCTCGTCGCTGGCCTCATGAACCCTGAGTCCAACCATAGGCGACGCCTCAAAGGCGAAATCAAGTGTGCTTGTGATGGGACACCCGACTCACCATCACATAACTGGGGAATGTCCACATGTCCAGAGTTTTCGTTTTCCCGCCATACAAGCTCTTCCTGCATCCCTGGAAACTCTACCCACCTGTTTCCAGTAGACAACACTAGTCCCCTAACAACATGGAAATAAGTAAGGATGCTCTTCACCAAATCCAAACTAGCTTAGTCACTGTACGACAACTTCATATTGAAGCTTGGAATGATGGACAATACATTGCCAGCACAACTGTGAATCCAACCAATCCGACTTGTCTAATCCTCCTCAGCCAGAAATCCTGCCGGCAGAACGCAAAGGCTACTTATTGCAGCCCATTCCCGATGGTTCGGGAATGTTTTGCATCAAATGCGGTATTTACATTTTTTTTCTTGATAAAGCATGTTCGATTGTATATATATAATTATGTCAATAGGGATGGGGTCCCAGTATAGTCGCTATACAGGTACATGCCATATACTTTTGGCTCAAGTGCCCAACCAGGTAAAAGGAGCTTTAGCGCGCGGGCTTCATGTTGACCTAAGAGCTAGAACGGGGCCAGGGCACACCTTTTCATCCGTTCGCAGGTTATCAGCCGTATCCAGACTCCTTTGAGCTGGGTACGAGCTGCGGCCTTACACAACACCATCTGAACACACACGCATCGGATAGAACAGTTACCCTCAGTCACTGAAGATGGACCAATCCGACGCCAGCACTGCATCTTTTGGAGCAGCTGCTGCGGCCGCAGATCGGATGAGTGCATCCCACAACTCTAGTCCAGGTACGATCGAAGTGGAGACTCTGACAGCGGTGAGAGAAGATGCGACAGGTAGAGCACGAAGTCGTTCCCCGTCAGCGCACTCGACACCACCGTGGGGGACACCGAGATCAGGCCGTAGCCCTAGGGAGACAAGGAGGAGGACTGACACCGGAGCTGTGAGAGCGCTAGCATTGCAGGATGGGTCAGCTGTACCAGTGCCGTCGGACAGCGAAGCTGGAGATCGAGCAAGGGCAAGCACTGACAACCTACAACTAGCACGGGCCGATGGAGACCTGAATGCGAAGTGTGCGCAACTACTTGCCGAAGTGCATATGTTGAACCACCAAAACGCATGGATGGTCGAATGTGAGCAGAGACAGAACCAGATTATACAACACGAGACCGAAGTCCACGAAGTAGTGATGGCACACCTCGAAGAATGTTATGTCGAAGGATATGGAAATCAACGAAGAATCACCCAACTTACAGAATCCAGAGACTGTTTGCTCTCAGCAGCACACGACCTGCAATACCAGATGGACACTGATCGTGTGGCAATGCGGGATCGTCTCACCCAGTTAGGGGAGTACGCTGATCGCAACAGCGCAGAGATGGTTAGTCAAGTTGTGAACATCGGCACGGAAGAGATCCAGGCTATATCGGCGGAAAGAGATCGAGCCGTAACCGAGGTCATGACTACAATCGCAGATGCTGAGAACGTCAAGGATCTGTGTAGACAGGAGTTAGTTGGACTACAAAGGCAGAGTGCCAGAAACAAACACGAATATGCTGAAGAGATGAAGATGAGGGAAGCGATGTATGCAAGCAAGATCAAATGGTTATCAGAAGAGAATGAGGAGCTCAACAACCGATCTAATACTCAGGACAAGTTCATCTTGAGCATCAGAGAGCAATTGAAGAAGGCGAACGAGGAGTTGACTCAGACGAGGATTCAAGGATCCGATCGACCGTTTCAACCATCCAGCGCCGAACTCAAGAAGGCCGAAGTCAAGGTGAACATGTTGGAAGAGGACATTCTACGTAAAGAGAGGATGCTGAAACGTCTTCAGGAAGAATTGATCGAATCAAGCGCAAGTGAAGCACAATTGAAGGTCGCACTGAAGTTGAAACCACCAGACATGGGATCAGAACCCAGTGTGGAGAATGAGATGATGACCAAGCTTAGAGCGGAACTTGAACGTACTGAAAAGTTATTAAGGTCCGAG